CCACCGGTAAAGGTCGCGTGTTCTTGAGCTCACTAGGTGTAGGCGTAGCGGATTTTGACGACGCGACGCTTCCTGGGCCTCTTGCTCATAGTCCTCGTGGTTGCGTCGCAAATGATTCAGCAAGTTCGTGTAGCCATTTCCCTTCTTGTACTGCTTGTCGCAGGTTGTACTTTTGAAAAAACCATTGCCGACGTCAGTGAACAGCATGGAGCAAATTTGGCTGCTTCTGAGAACCATAGTGGACCGGAAGATCTAGGAGCCGGGTTATCGTGAGGTAGTAAAAGTGAATTTGAGAATGGCAAAAGTTTTTCTTGAGTCTGGAGGTCAATAGGAGTTCATGCATTGGTGGTGGACGGACAGAGGACACTGGTGGCTGCCGTGGGGCCAACTTTACAATTTAGGTATAAATTATGTACAATTCAAAAATGAATTGGTCTGACAGAATTAATAATTGAATTAAAATATTCTAATGTATTATAACGGGTATTATTTTTTCGGTAGCCCTGCCAATAGTGGAATTCTACGAATTACGAGTGGTAAAGTAACCCGCTCGTAAACATAATTCCAAGGTTGGCTCACCATGTAAACATTACAGCCGACGCATTTAATAAGCTGGCATGCATACCGGTGGATGACAGCTTCTTGGGTGGCACAACACTGACCGCTTTTGATGGAGTTTCATTGCGTCAGCAATGCCCATGTTGTCAGCCGATATTGATGGTGAGAGATCGATCTCTAGTATTATTGTACTTGAAGCGACTGATCCAGAGCAACGCACTACAGGTCTAGCTTTTTGCGTCTAAGTCAAATATTTCTGAGCAGAAATCGTGAAATCTGAGATATTCTCAAACAAACACCCCGGAGATTTCTTTCAGGAGTTTTTAAACGTGTTCTCCTAGCTGTATCTAGCAGTTGCGTAGGTTCGCGGAATTTATATTACCATTTTTGTCTTCGGCGGAAGCGCATGTGGTATACGCTTCTCAAAAGTTACACCTGCCATTGTTAGACAAAAGTGAAATTGTTGTATACTACACAGATAGCTCGTAGCCCATGGTGTGGCTTCAGTTGTATCAAATTATCGTGTGCTACAACGAGTCGTGTTCAGAGCTAACTATATTGAAGAGAATCGTAATAACACCTTGAAAAGGCTATTTTTTCTCCTTTGCATTCGATCCTTAATATTTCTATCTTTCGTTGCTAACTCGGCATACGCCTTTATTAAATGGTGGTAATTACACAGTAACAGCGTGAATTGCGAACCCGCCAGTGTTTACTAGGGTGATGCGGTTAAAACATATAAGCAGACAGGTGCTGACAAGAATTGAATTATCATGCAATGTAGGAGGCTGAGATTCGAGCACGAATCGTTAGATAACAGCACAGAAAAACTGATGATCAGAGATCTTAGGCTTTGGGAATTGCATCGTCAACTTTCGGTATTATAAGGTTTGAGAGCTTGTTTGTGCTGAGCCCGTTGCATTGTGCCATAGTGTTTAAGAAAAACCTCTATTCATTTTTACTGAATTTCTAAACTCGTGGTATCACTTTAATTCAGCTCGTTGCGTCAGCAAGTCGCTGCTATTTTTTGTTTACAAACAATTGGTTAAATTCATCTTCAATGAGACCACTGTTAATACGCGACACGTGCGCAGTGATAAAAGCCGACCGGATCGAATAGTTGACGTTTCGGTTCGAAAGCAGAAGAATTGGCTTCAGAAGTTGTGAACCCCCGAATTTGGTAATTATTAGCTATAACCCAACAACTTCTTTTTTTTAAAAAAAGAATGTCGGTTACAGAAGCGATTAAAAATAACCTACTGTAACCGACTTTCGTTCTGTTTGAGAATTAAGGCGACCTGTAAAGTGATTTGCAGCTAGAGCGTATTATGTTTGTGACGGTACAGCATAAACTTTATCCAAGATTACGTTAGTTTTGGAAAGTATAATACATACACTTCGTCAGACATTATGTCTAATCACTTCCCAATTTCTGAAGCCCCAAAACAACGCTTTGTCCATCATGGGTTTTTCCAGAGGTGTCCAGCAGTTTGTAACTATACTTCTTGTGCCTGAGGCTAGCTACCGCGACACTGAATATGGCAGAAATGGCCAAGGTTAATATGGCTGCATCCAGGTCCTTAAGATGCAACATCGTCACTGATAAAGACCAGGGCAATGAAGTGCGAGGAGTGATCATTGACGCAATATCTGCTTTTACAGAGCTCAAAGCGAATTCCAACTCACTTGTACTTAAAGTTGAGCTCAAGGGTTGGCTAGCCCTCGAAACGCCCGCAGGACAGGTGTTAAACGCGATAAAACCCTCGCCGTATATAGAAGGCAACTTTCTGTCGACCACAAGCTCCTGAGTTGGCTTCAATACGTCGATGATTTGAACAAGAAGAAGCACCACGTTGAACATTTATCTGCGGCGTCATCGCTGACTTCTTACTACGGAAACGGTCGGCTTTCAGCAATGCTGAATGTGGCCATGCAGGATCAAAACACGAAGGCACTTGCATTAATGCTTCACGCGCAGCGAATGGAAGATTGGATGCAAAGCAAGACCTCTCCGTCCAACGTCTTCAAAGCACTACAGCCCCAGAAAGAGGACGTCCTCACGGGCCCGGTCTTGCCTTCCTGGTTCAAGTATTTTGATGATTTCAACGCACGAAATCCAGGGGAGAGCATGACGTTTATGAAGGCGTTAGCTTTTGAACTGGATGACGCAGGTTTAGCTCGAGTTCTCGAAGCAGGGCTGACAGATGGGAAGATGAAGGCCTTTGCCACGCAACTGACAAACAAGCTGTTTGGAGAATGGAAGAAAAGAGAAATTAGTGCCGCCTACGCGTTTCAAATTGTCGGCCTTGCAGATATTATAAGTGCTAGACGGGTCCTATCGGATAAGACTTTGGATTTTTGGTCCTATCGGATAAGACTTTGGATTTTTGGGTCAGATACTTGAATCTTTTTGAACTCCGACGGGAAACGACGAGTGATGGTTGATTCGTTTAGAGCTGGATTTGGAGACCCCGCAACGATAGCGATTATCGCGGCTGGGAAGAGCGATCAGACTACGAAAACCATCGCTGATAACTTGGAGTTATCTCTGCTTACCAGATGGCTTGATGAAAAATTGCCCCCGCTCACCGTCACTCGCTGGGTGGGTGCGCTCGAGTTAGATGATACGCTCGAAAAGTACACGGCCCTGTTCAAGGCGAAGTGGTCAAATGATGTCTAGCCATGAAAACCATTATGTTTACTGGAATAACGAGAGGCAAGTGAGTGAGATGACATGGAACGACTAAGTACTCGACAAGGAAACAATTGAGTTCTTTTT